GCAGCCATAGCTGTATTTTCATTAACGCAAAGTTGAAAATAGTAGTGTAAAACAGCTAACTAGAAATCAAATAAAATTCCTAGTGAATAACGTGAAAATTAAAACATTTATTAGAAAACATAAATAAATCAAAACATCAATAAAATTGTTACTCAATAGTCAAAGAAAAAATGAATGTCAACAAAATGAACAGCTGATAGACCAAAAACATAACCCCATTTAGTTTTTTTTTGCCGGGCGTGGTGATCCGGTTTAAATGGGTTACTTCCACATCCCACCAGTGTCAGGAATCCTGACTCAGGAGCGATGGCACCGGTTTTAGATAAAATGACACGAAATAAGACGACCTTTTTCTAAACAAATATTATTAAATAAAAAAAACACTTCAAAAAAGTGTATTTTCCTCTAAAAACGGTTTACAAATTGCCTTCCTTTATTAAGAAACAAAGCAATACCGATATCAACGCGTATTCACAGTAAAAAAAACAACTATGAAAATTCAGAACATCGATGTCTCTCACTAGAGTTTAACGTAAAAGAACATCAAAATGGGATTATAAATAAACGTTCAAATGATAATAAAAATAGTATAAACGTCACAAAAACAAAACACCATAAGCACCGCTGCTATCGACTGTACACAAGTAGGTACATACCTAAACTTCGAGCACGAGTCCAGAAGAAGAAGAGTGATCAAGAAGTAAACACTAACACGGGACGAGCGTTCATCTACGCGGTTTTAACTGTACTGACAACACGCAGAAAGAGAGAGAAGAAAATGGCGGACACATTGTAGCGTAGCGACACTAGTATTGTGGAGGGAATACGAACTAAAATAATCACAGAGCATGCCGAGCGCAGAGATTGCATCATTAGGCCTAGAGTGAGGTGGTAGTCGATGTACGAGAGAGACCGATATACGGATGTTACCGCTCGAGAGACGAGAAAAGCGAAATCGATTCGCTGAACGTGGCGCGACATTCTCTGACGCGTAAACTACTCTGTTGAGTTTGTACTTTAAACACGAGTATGTCGAGGCGAAGCGAGGGCACGTTTCCCCAGCGAGTCATTCTCTTGCGTTCTACTTCTGTTGTTGACAAATGGATCTAATTTAATACAGTCTTCTTTTTGACCTCATTATTATTATTATTGTTTATTAATAAATTTAGTATTTCCATAGGTAATTGACTCTATCTCTTTTAAACTTGATGTTTTAAGTTTTCTTTGGGAAAGGAAATAATAATTTAGTATCACAAATATCTGAATTAGTTAGTTGATTTTTTTAGGTATCCTAAAAAAATCAACGTTAGGTAAGTAGGTAGTACGAAATTAGTACTTCCCTATGTAACTCTTTTTCAGAATAGTTAGACTGTCTTGTGCAGTCTTAAATCTTCTAGAATTTCAAAAATAAGGCTGGTTATGTAGTTATTTACAGCAGATATGCGGTTTTATAAATGTTTTAATCCGACAAAATGGCGTCGTCGTACCTAGTTATCGCGAATATGCGACGTTGCCGCTCTTCCTTAGCACCGCGTTCAAGTCGAGTGGGTCGTTCGACTGGCTACCGAGAGTAGCCGAGCATTTACGAGCGGTGCCGAGCAAGCGTACGTCAACGTAACGTCATCACAAAAATAGAAGGGTCGAGCATAAAGTCATTTTTTCTCATAAAATCAGCAACATTTTATGGTAATGAGAAGCAGAATACGCAAAATACATCAATATTTGTAGCATTCATCCTTGATTGAGCAATTTCGCACCCGGTAAAATCGCCTAAGTTCCCTACTGTGATTTCAAGGTTAATTATCAAGAATGTTATATTAACAGGTCTCAAAAAAACTGAAGATCTGAAGACATAGGAACAGAAAGTAGGGTCCTAAAATATAATGACGGTTTGGTACTAAAATAATCTTTACAAATAACATGCACCTAAATCGGAATTTTAGTAATGATAAGACAGTAATAGAAATAGTGCCGATGATAAATAAAATTTACTTATGATGAAGGCATATCAATGACCTAGTTCGAAACAATATAATCCGGCTATAATGTCCCATCACTAATGAACTAATGTCGATAGAAATTACAATGATTAATGCAAGAGTAATTATTTCAATTCCGAATGCCTAAATCAATGGCGCTGTCATATCACTATCACACACCACATACTCCACAGCCAAGGCACTGCGAAAAGTGTGTCTATGAAATCAGTGTGGATACATTGCCGGCGTTGAACTACGCGAGACGAATCTTTTGAGTTTCCGCTGTAGTAAACATTCGATGGATCGGAAACAATACAGATGCCTCGCGGACAGAAGTATTAAGAGACTTCTGCAAAGAGCGGTACAGAATGAGGAATCTAGTTATGGGATTTAACTCCCTTGGCACCGTTTGACAAAAACCAATAGTAATATATCTAGCCCATAGAAGAAAACGAATACCTTGCATTCTTCTATCAATCTGGCAGAATTGAAACATAAAAAACATTGTAGTTTTGTTGTCGAGGAAGGGACGATTGACCCGTAGCTGAATAAAGAGCTAATTAAAGAAAATAATAAGTAACAGGTTCTTCAATATTTCCGATTTATGATAGAAAATGTTCGACCAACTAGGTGACCAGTTGACCAGAAAAAAAAACATAATATGATTTTTCCTTTACCCGCTTGGACATTAATACAAACAAAGGCATGGCAAGCAACATTGATCAGCTTCAGCATTCATCAAAAGAAAGAATAATTTCGCTAATGATAATGCATCATCCATCCTTGTAGTACATAATACAAAAAGTTCAGAAGAAACCTAGACAAGGTGAACCGAGCATTGATATTTGCTGCAAAAATAGAATTTTGCGATGTTGTAACTTATGAACATTTGCGGATAAGAAATAGATACAAAGAAACTAAAAAAATACCAGGCTAGATAGAACTAGCTAGTCAAATCTTGATCGATAGACGGATAGCCTAAATCCCACTACCAGTGCTCAGAGTTCAGACTAGCACGAAACTAAAGCGGTTTGGCAACGTAGCGGAATGATGAACTTCGCTGTAATGTCGTTTACGCTTACGCGTCTAGCTAGTACGGCAACGACAATGAGAGTTGAATAAATTCGCACACATTACAGAACTGCTGCAGCATGGGATTGACAGCTGTCAAATCCCATTCATGTTATCAACTGGCAATGTCAGGCAGTTCCATTAGTCAAGAGTTACCTGAATTTTATCTAGACCTGTATGTACGAAATAAATTGCTCGTAGGAAGAGCGGCAACAGCGCGTCCGTGCCGATAGGTACCAAAGTAAATTATTATTCGTCGACGTTGCCATGTAGGCGTTTCATACAACCAATCCAACTTCAAGTCCAGCAATGACTAGTTGTTTGTTGTGATCATTTTTAATAAATTAGTTTATTTTATATTTTTGTCTTCCTTTTCAATATCGTATTGTTCATAAAGTTCTCATTTTCTACTCGAGCTGATTCAGCGCATGGAAAATTGTGCTTTATTGCTTCTTTATAAGGTACAATTTGGTATATCCTATAATAATATATTTTTCTAGAAAACTTCGACTGACTAGAAAAATACCTAGATATTAATAAATAAGCAGGTATCATTAACCTGTTTTAGAGAAATACCCCTAAAGTCTGAAAACCCATGTTCTTTCATCTCGTGTAAAAGAAGAATATTTTCAAAAGAAGAATGACCAAAAATAAAATGGAGATGGCAAGCTGAAATAAAAAAAAAAACATCGTTAGTAGGTACACTCACCTCCAGAAGTTGCAGGTGATGTCCAGACAGTTCTCAACAAAATCAGCTGGCGCAGCGCTTCTTCTTTCCGACCTTGCTCCGCGCGGCGAAGATAGCGAAATGCACAACAAAACATTCCCCGACTGTCTCACGCTAGCGACCGGGGAGCGAGGGACCGGCCGCCATTTTGTTGAATGTCAAGTCGCGAGTTAGAGCGAGATAGATAGAGGCAAATATTCACATAACCTCACAACTTACATCAATAATTGTTTCAAATCAGAAGATACGTCTGTGTAGGTAGTCTTAAATCTTGTAAGTTCTTCCACTTTGTAATTAAATAATTTTGAAGATAATCTTTTAGATCTTATCGATTTTTTCAAATCTTGGGTGCTTTATATTTAGCTTTTCCACTTCTTGTATTGATTTTTGACAGAAACAGTCAACTGTTTAAAGAACTTTTACTTTTTCTGTCATTTTCACACTATTCATTCAACTGGCCAGTCCAGATTAGAAAAACTGATGTTCCAAAATAAATTCAAAAATAATTGGAATTAAAAGGGAACTTCAGAACTATAGTAGCTTCTTCCGGTTCAAAAGGGTCATATTTTTAACCGTCTCTCTTTGAAACCTAGCGTCAATGTTCCATAATAATTTGTAAGTTCACTTCACTTCTATTTAAAATGAATACTATTCAATTAAAATTTATTTCTCATACTACCCTTTCTTTATTTTGTAACATCAAACCAAGATCTCGAGTTTAGTAATGACATCTGTTATGCTGATGTTGAACTAACACAAAATAAGAAAATAAACGTACTAGTTTATTATTGTTATATTTTACTATCCGTATTGGAATTTTCAAAGCTCTGTCCGTTCTATTGTAGTTAATGAACAATAACACGATTATTTATGTATAGTATTATCTTACTAGTAATACAAGATGACTTTCACACGTAAAAGCGATAATTCCGAAATCCGAACCGAGGCCGCGAGGATCAGTCTGAACGAAGTTTCTACAAATATTGTAAGATGGCGCTAACAGACTGGAAGTGGAATTTTACCTAATAATAAAAATCATTGTGATATGTATTTTGCAAATAAACTTAATTAAAAATAAGTCGTTCTACGTAAAAAACACAATTTAATTAAATTCTTAAATAATAAATAAGCAATAGAATAGACTCAGAGAATAAACATGAAATCTTTGAGTCCTAAGAAATTAAAAAAATGTCTCTCTTCTGTCACTCACTGTCATTGTGAAATGTCATCGTGTTATTTGTAAACAAACAGAACGGTTCATATGAAATTCCAGTTTTTTGTAAATAATTAGTGAAGTGAATAATTTAAATGAAATGTTTTTAGAAGAGGCAAAAAAATAAAACATTTAAGATGTTTCTTGGCATGCTGGTGCAGTCTAAAACGGTTGAATTTCTTTTTATCTCTACTGTTCTATATTTCATAAGCTAATTTATTTTTAAATCATCTTTAGTGATCTCTACCATGATTTCAGACCATCAAGGCATTAAACCGTTACTCAGTGATCTTGCCTCATCGCTTATTCAGCCAAGCACTAGATAATACGTATACAGAACAACAGAAAGAAAAAATCCTGCAGGTTATCAATGAAGCCGATAATAACATGCTGTCTAGGTAATTAATTATAACATACTAACAATTTAATAATGGAAAATAATCCTGACTTTAACTAATCATTCTTCTCTGAAGTGGTTTCTTAGGCCACTTAAAACAAATTGAACTTCAGAGTTAACCTTAAAATTACCTGAACAACAACAACCTACCAACATAAATTATTTTTACTAATGCAAGTTTTGCTTATTTTGGAACTGAATAGTGCAGAGTAAAATTTCCAAGATTGTTAATATCCATAATTTATTCCTTTCTAGGTATGAAATACCAAAATCTAGAATAAAAAAGGTTTCCCAGTGGAAGGATACTTATGGTGGCTTAAAATCTATCTCTGACATACACTTGATAGATGGGTTCTCAGACAAAAGTGCCAAAAAACTGTTTGATAGTATATTAGATGGACCGAGTGAACCACCAACAGTTCCAAAGGCCAGTAGTAAAATTAAAGGCCAGATATTACAACCGACACTGAATGAGTCTACTAGACAGGTGATTTTTTTTTTATGGTAATGATTTCTGCAATCAGTCGCCAGACTATAATCAGATATGTTGAGTGTCATTTTATTATTAAAGAGCAGCTGGCCTATGCCTAAGCTGTCTTCTTAAATTACGTGGTTTCTTTTTAGCCCTTTAACCACGTTGTCGTTCTCCAGTAAGTAAAAAAGACAGGTGAATTTGTTTCTAACATCTATGAAATAATGTGTTATTTTGCCTTCTACTTTATGCATTACGTGCTGGCAGGTGATGTTTCTTAAGATTTTTTAAAAATATAGTACCTGTGGATTTTCATAAAAAATGGATACAGTGTTTCTCAAACACTATGTTTCTCATAGTATTGTTAATAAATCGTTTACTTCTAGAAATGCCGAACAGTCTTGGCAGTTTATGTGTCAGTGAACTCAGTGTGTTGGACGCTAATAGACAAGGAAAACTATGAGGTGGTCAATTGGAACTACTATGGCATTGACTATCCTGATGGGAAAAGGCTTCAGATTACTGATATCATGCAAATTGTAAGTTATTTAAGTTCCAGTTAATTCAACAAATGGTTATAATATTTCTGGAAACGTGTATTTCTTAGAATGATATTGTGTCATCTTAATATCATTATCATTTCAGCAGGATCAGCCTCTACGGCTTACTATTCTTGCCCCATAATGTGTTATCGAGGTTTCGCGGTTCCGTAGCGACATCTATGATGAAACACTTTACTAACTTGTCACTTTTACATCATTCCGCCAGATGGCGTTGTAATTATTTACTATTTTGCAGTTTTGGTTTGAACATTTTTCTATCACAAACTTTACAAAATGGTAACTGCTGTCTATTTCACGTAAACTTATTATTATATTAGAAAACAGCAGTATTCAAACAGCGGTTCCAGTTGGAAACTAAGATCAAATGGCGCACATAAAGACCTTCTGAAGGTTGTGCACATTATTAGCTTATGCTTTCAAGAGGAGAGCGTATCTTCTCCTTAAAGGCCGGCAACGCACCTGTAACGCCCCTGGGTCTGCGGATGTTTAGGGCGACGGTAATCACTTACCATCAGGTGATCCGTCTGCTCGTTTGCCTCGTCACATAAAAAAAAATGATATTGATAAAATTAAATTATAATATCAGTAATATCACAAATAGCAAACCTCTCTTTTTTAGGCATGGAAAGTGACCCACAAACTGCCCCAAGCCGACATCTACGTGATGAAGGCAGAGGCCACCACACTACGAGCTGGTGGAAGTGACCCCAACAACCCTAAGGTCATTGCCGTCAATCTTCAGAAGTCACAAATGATCTCGATGATCGTGGCTCTGATCAACGCTAGGAGTAACCAGATAACGTGAGTAGAAAGAACTTAACACTATCAGCTGCTGAATTATCAAAGAATACCATGCGTCCATATGTATAGCTTTATGTAGGCACTTACTGCTTTTTACGCGCCGATAAACTATATGTATAATAATATAGTTTCCTTTATTAAAAGATGAGTTTTGGGTTTTTGTGAAATCTTATATCACTGTTAGTGTGATGCTGATGGTAGTTGAAAATCTTCGAACTTCTTAAACTTACTTTAACGCCATCTATTAGCGACTACGTTTACTAAACGCATGTGTATCGTTTTGTTTTTAAATGACGACACTAGATAACGCTACTGTGATTAACTGAAAAAGGTTTGAGTTTTGATTTAATTTTTCATTTATTTAATTTAATGAGAGTTATCGCTTTTAAACTTAATAATTGGCATCACAAGAGTGAGTGACAAGATTTTACTCTGCAAGTGACGCCATCCTGGCGAGTGCAAATGTGACAGTCCTCCAAATGCTTCAGCGATCACTAGTTGGCGACACTGTTTTAGCCACTAGCACTATATGTAGATGACCCACGCTGAACTGTCCCGCCAAACTCAATGACAGGGGGGCGCTACCATCGTTCAACTATATGGTTTCCAACATGGCAAAAATCTGAACCAGCAATCCGGTATTGACGGTGGCGCCCCACTGTCAATGTCATCGACAGGACAGTCCAGTATTTTGGAACTATAGCAAGTAACAGGACTTTACTTTACAGTGGCGCCAACTGATGAGTGGTAATACGATAGCCCTCATTTTTACTTATATCTGAAAGGACCTAAAGTCCGGTCGCCAAACACGCTCGCACACACTGCGGCCGCCGGTCGCACAGTCGCGACAGCAATATAATTACGCGCGAGTGATAAGGATGGGTAGTTTGGGGTCATTGGACGAAATTCTACGTGCTCGGGGACCGGACTTTACCTGTACCCGTTTTATTTGTTCCAGGGTTGCTCAAGACGACGAGGAGGAAGAAACTAGTCAGATAGAGAAGAATTTTAAGCACAAAGTGTATTTTCTAAGGCCATCTTTACCCTACAGGTGAGCAATACTCATCTACCCATATTTTTGGCTCTATATTTTAATAGTTTCTTATACATACCTACATGAATATTGTAGAAAGAAATCAGATGCTCCGTCGTCCAAGTATACTATGCTTTATACGCGTGTAGGCAATACAAACTGATGGACTGACAAAAAACTTTTTTATCACTTAAAAGTATTAAAAATACTTAAAAATTAATAGACACGTCAATTTTCTTGATTTATTTAATCTGACATTTCTTTTTAGGCTGTACGGAACACTAGTCGGTAACGAGCGAGTGTCTACCGATCAGACGGTCGAAATGATGCTACAAAACATGAGTGCCCGTTCTACAGAAAATTTTCTACCAAAAGCATACATTTCAGAAGAACTAAAATCCGATTTTCGGTCTAGAAACGAACTGGAAAGGGATATGTTAGGTCACTGCTTGTTATTGACATTGACTTTTATGGATCTATGTATTTATAAGAATCAGGAAAGTATCCAGAAGTTGAACAAACGTGGAGAGTAACAATTTGTAAATAACTCTAGGTTGTTAATGTTGTAGATAGTTATAGTTTTTATGAATAAACAATTTTGAAAGTTACTTATGTTTTTATGTGCCTTTTCCCGAGATCTAAAGACAAATGTCCCGAATTTATTCTCTGAATTAGTTTTCTTTTTCCTTGTACAGGATAGAATTTTGCAATGCCACCTTTTACTTAAAGAAAGCATTCCTTTATTTAAAAAAAAAAAGAAACTACATTAAAACATATTGTTCTGATCTTCTGAAGTTACTGTTATTATTTTTTAAAACGGACTGTTAGGTACGTTCAATAAATATTTATGGATGATAAAAAATTTGAAGTTTTCAGTTTTTCAGGATTTTTTTATATTCTGGGTTATAGAAGGTGTAAATAAAACTTCACTATATTGCTTCAGTTGGACTAAAAAGTGTTTATTTGATAAAATACAACGAGCTTACTTTTTACAACATTTTACTTCTATTAATGACAAAAAAAAACAAACAAAACCCTTAATACAATAATAATATACATAAATACGATGGTATCAACTTCAAACGTATTGTACGTAACTAACATAAATGCAAAACTAGGCAAGAACATTACAATTCAATTAAAATATAATCTAAGACAAAATAATATAATAATAACTAAAAATATAAACGTTAAAATATTTTAAAGTTACACCGAGAAGTTCTAATGCAAAAATTCTCTATAGATCACACATACACTTTTGACCTAACCAAAGTTGAATTTTGTATGTAATACTGATATTATTAATTTTGGAAGAACTAGAAAATATTATTTACAATTTTTTAATTTGCCAACGTTTAATTTTTCGCCTGGATCTTTGTGACCATATCGCAACCAACTGTTTTTTCGTAAAAAGAATAAAGAAAGTCTATGGTAAATTGAAATAATTCTGTTAACTGTTGTGTGTAAAAAGTTCGATCTTGTATTCTGGGATTGTCTAAAATCAATTTTATATATTCTATTTCGGAGTCTCTGAAGGTAGTATGTAAGAAAATATACTCTGCTGTAACATGTGGATGGCGGTGCTGAGGGTAGATGCGACTCTTTTGGAAAACATATTTCTATATGGCAAGACTGACTTTGTAAGGGTTACTATTGGAAGACTTTCAAATTAGACAAACGAATTTTTTCAAACTTTTAATTAAAAGAACAGTTTAAACTGTTTTAACTCAATTTTTTTTATGTTGAATTTGAGGCAGTTTTTGCTGTCTCTTTATTGTGATAAATTAAAAAATGGAAGACAAATCTATCACAAATAAATAATTAAATTTAAATAAAAACAACATCGCTAAACCCTCAGCACCACCAGTAGATAACTCTGTAGAAACCTAACAACAGTGTAAAATACCAGTCTATTGTTGTATATTACAATAAATATGTACAATTAATGATATAACAGCACCCATCTCATTAATGAAACCATTTACGCCGAGATCCGTCGCCTATCGCGCTTCATTATAAAAAAAATGTGTGTAAATATCACCGCTTTATTGTATAATCTATTGTACTCTTGTATAAATTGTATAATCTGTATAATCTATCTATTGTATTCATCTGTACACGGAAACAGTATATTGTATTGACTCAATTATTGTAGCAAAAATAAGCTGGATAGGCGAAGGATACTGGATGCGTTCACACTGAGCGAAAAATGGTGGTGCGCGCGCGCTGACTTAACTAAATAATTGATCGCGAATCCGCGCACGATTTCCACCCGTGTGAACAGACCTGTCTGACGTAAAACGTTGCGTCCAATAAAATCTGTAAAAAACTCAATCCAGACTACAAGATCATTAATCTAATATGTCCATCTTTTATAAAAAATTCAACAACACTTATTTTATTGTGGAACTGTATTCAACAAGTCTCTATTGTGATAAAAAATTAATTATTTTTAAAACCTGTGACAGCGGTCGGCGATCGCATGGCAGTGTACCTACACAATGTTTGGGTATACCTAGTTTTAAAAATAAAATAAAATAGGCCATTTTTATGTTGGCTACCAATTATTTCTTGACACTATTATTAATCTATGTCATTAATGATATATAGAATAGAATAAATTATACGTAAATTTTCCAAATTTCATGTGTATTGCACTGGTACCGCACTGTCTGCGGTTCACACTACATAAAATTGGTTGAACTGTACAAATAAATCTAGATTGGTATACGAAACGTAACTTAAATAGAAAGGTCACAAAACAAAGTCGTCGTAACGATAACTACGGCGAATGGAAGACGCTAAATAATTCGTAGCCAACCAAACTAAATCGCTACTCTAAGCTCTCATATGCACTGATGATGACTTCCGATATACTACTTTATACGATATTTTGTTTGTGAATATTCGTAGTGCGACGGTTAAACATTCAAATACTTATTAGTAAAGATCCCGATTTCACACCGGTCGTCCTCGACGATCGCTTACATCGTCTTGTATAAATAAAATAAGTTCGCAGACTTTTAAAATACATGACTTTAAATGCATGATCGAAAGTGTAGCTTTTACGCCATAGAAGATGCGAGTTACAGCTATAAAATTTATGATTTGAGGCAATTAAATTGCATAGTTTATTTTTTAAAACATTTTGTATCTTTTGTTTCAATTTGAAGCAATAAGTCGCATCTCTGTTACACAGTTACAAACAGTGCCACACAAACCTGAAAAAACACAGGGTGACTTAATTTTAGTACTGTTAAGCCAATGTTACACTACACTTCTTAAAACTTCGACTGCTTGAGATCATACAATAAATGCATCCAACGTGGAATCAAAATGCTATTACAACTTTTTGAATAAACTTATCACTATGTCACTAATTTTGTAAGAAGCGAAGCAACGAATCAGTTACACTTTCATTGCTCAAAATAATTGTATTTGATACAATTGACGTCTTGATAATTATTATGTTTATATTATGCAAAGTATAATGTCACGATGCAATCTTATTCTCTCCTTTTTATCTTTAACAACTTAAATGTACAAAATTAAGTGTATTAAGTCATAAAGGATAGCACTCAGTTACACTATGAAGAGGCTATGTTGAGAGAAGTGGCAATATTATGGATTTTTTGGCACGTCCAGTTAAGGCCGCTATACACTTTGTGGCGGGTGTCATTCATTGGAATCAATTATTATTAATATCAAGTAACTGAACAGGTAACTTAAAGTGCACTTACTTATTTTTATTTTATTATAGACGGAGTATTTTATGTAATGTAGAGTCACCAGCACATCAAAATGTTTTTTTATTTTTTGTTGCAAAATCGCAATAGTTGTATGTAATAGATACGTCTTTAGTATACTTAGTTTAATGTGATGTCGTCAGTACAGTGACAGTTACATTTTTTTTTATTCCTGTTAAAATCAACCCATTACTTTTTAATAATATCAGTTACTGTTAAGTTTTTTTTAGTTCTAAATAGAGATAGCAGTAACGTGAATTTTCTAGACGTGCCATTAAATAATACGCACGAACATTATGGCGAATATTGCCTATTGATGTCAAACGCATAAAACAATGGTTCGAGTAAATAGATATAGTTTTATATAGAGTATCTTAAAAGCTTGTTTACATTTTATGCACTACGCCTTTCTGCAATATAGCTTTATAAATGGAAGAATCAAATCTGTTTTAATAGCAAGATCACCATTATGTTTTCTCACCAAGTGACGACCTTGTTTAGTAAATTTTAGACAAACATCTAGTGTCTCTATCACAACGATCAAAGACTTAAAATATTTCAAGCTGTCTCTAGTAATCTAATTAAAATGCTATCATTTCTAGCTCACAATATATTTCGGTAACGTAGAGCTGTATTGCAGAAAGTCTACCTAAATATCAGCGAAAATACAAATAAAGTACGCAATAGTAAAAGCTAGGAACATGATTAAAACCTATATAAATACTCTGTGAAAAGAAATCCGGTATTTACGTGGCTGAAGTTACCTTTATAATCAAAACTGGACGGCAAGCTCTTAATGATGGCAAACGTATAGCATTTTGAAAATTATAACGACACTATTCACTTTAAATACACTTTAGTTACCTAATTTCCCTCTATCGGTAGACTCTACATGACAAAGTACTACGTGGTACTACTGGATAGTCCTAAAATTCAAGTAAAATATAGAGAAGAATATGGTTTGCCTGACAAGTTTGCTGATAATGCAAACTGATTTTAACTTTAAAATGATAATTTTGGATGAATAGTGACGTTACAACTTTCTTACTGCGAAACATTATTATAAAGGGAGTGTTACATAAGTGTCACCAGCATTGGCACAGACAATCATTAAGTAACATATCATAAGAAAAGCAAAACCGTGCTCTATAAAAAACTATTATTTTACAGAAACTCACTTTAACTAATATTGTAACGTTAAATGTTATACACATACAAGGATATTGAGCAAAACTTAACAAAAGTGTGAGCAATTTAAACAGAACATTCCTAACGTTTACTTTGATTTTGACTTAAATCTATACCGAAATACTATAAGCTGGGGTAGCCACTGATTGCACGATAAAGTACTACTTTTGACTGGCAAGATAGAAAGACGAGATGTTAATTTGAATTTAACACAAAAGTGGGGGTAGTTTCATCATTTGCTGAGTGATTTGGTTAATGATTGCCAAGAAAAATGTCAGTAAGTGTTGAAACCCACCCCTAAGGGTCGTATAGACTCAGCCCAGAGGTAACGTGTCACATTTTATGGCCAAAAAAGTTTTTAATCACGCAACTTTCAACGCGTCGCATCTCGGCTGAGTGTATGTGAGCCCTAAATGTCCAATGTAGCTCTCATACATATTCCGTTACATTGGCATTTACCAGTAACAAGGATGCTTAATTAACGATGCAACACTGCCCAGTAGTTCCTGATGATATGTATTTACAATAACCACGCTGTAAATCAACATTCAACTAAATGCAAAATTATGATTTGATCAGAAAATCAAACGAGGCACCACGATCAGTGTAAAATCGGCATGATACTTTTAAAGTCTGCAAATGTGGATGGCTTTCAAAATTTCGCAAGTGGTGCCATTTTGGTTCCAAAAGTTTTGTTTTTCTCTTTGTGAATACATTTATAAAGTTTTCCGGTCAAATCATACTCGATCTATTTAAAAAAATGTGGTAAGTTGTGGGGAATCGACATCTTCAATCTCCCAAGACTCAGTAACTTATAAAACCTGTTTCCAAAATCCTTAGGTACTTAGCACGTTGCAATAGGTACGACTAACTTTAAGACTATTTCACATACGATTTAATAATATTGTTTGTAATAAATGTATAAAATAGCATCTGTAATCTCTGTATACTTAATCACCTTTGTTTATATTTAAAAATTAAATCCATTTGTATCGGTATAAAAATCTAATAAGTATAAATCTGAGGTTATTTCTCGGCAATGGCACTATGTTGTTTGTATTCAAACTTTATACTATAGCGCGGCGCCGCCCGGTCCCTCTTGTCTGTGTTTGTATAAAAATACTTATGACTATTATTGTATAAGGCTGTTTATTGTAGGGCAGTTTATAAAATATATAACGGGAACTGAAACTTGTATATGGCAGGCCGGGCGGCGCACGCGCCGGGAGGGTCACACGTTGAACATGTGAACACTAGTCACGGAAGATTACTTTAGAATTTCTCCGAATGTGGTATTTTTCGTTTGCAAACCTCCAAAAGTTTGATAGGAAACTCAAATGGTAAATTAATTCGCGAGCGCGATTCTGAAGGCGGTCCAAAGTTGCGTCTCTACATTAGTTGATATAATTTTTAGCGGCGCAATTAATCGGTAAGATGTATAAACCATGGGCTTCTTTCACTGGGACACCATAACAGCGTAATCAGCTGCATAAATTTTGTTTCTGGCGCCTGGTTATGTCGCCATATTATCTTCGTGAAATGTAACCATTTGTCACACATAGAAGCCGCAACCTTGACCCGTATACAATTTTCATAACTGTCCAATGAGAAAATTTATTTGACGCACGTAATCCGCTGAAAGAAATGCATTCACTTTGAGAAGTGATAAATAATAAATCGTATCGAAGTGTAACGTGACTCCCACAAATTCAAATACTATTACATCTATTTGTTAATACATAGTAACAGTCCTTATTATGCGGTAGGAAAACGAAACCATCACAATAATATCGTAAAATAAGCTATATATGTCGTCTATAGATACAAACAGAGATGATAAAAAACGTTAAAACGCGTGCTGGGGTGCGCGGGCGGCCCTGCACGTTTAAAGTCTACCCGACTCGCGTGGTCAACTAGCTTCAACGGAGGTGACGTATTTTATACATCGACCTCACACAAAAACCCTTCCAATCCCATCCTATGTTTTTTCTTATTCTAATCGTATATCTTGGACGAGAAACAACTTAGGACGATCCGCCACCACCAGGGCACCCCAACGCGCCAAAAAATTCATATATATCTTTATTTCCCTAACTCCTAAGTTATTTCGCGATGAATGGTCGAATTGCTTGGTAATTCGAAAGTTGATAGTCTAACCTAAATTAGAAATAAGATTAGTCTGGCATATCCTCGTCCCTGGATCAAACTACGACAAAGCACTTAGCGACATCACACGCGTTACCTAATGGTAAAATTCACTAATCTCACTCTCAAAATTACTTTATCAAATCAGTCAAGAAGGGAAGGCAAAACCGGCGTCGAACCGCCTTAAAATAAATGCGTTAATTTCAATAATTTAGGAACATAAAACGTCGTTTCACGCGGGCGTTTGGCAATTTCGAGTTACTTACAAAAGAAGCGAATACACAATGATAAACAAAACTATCTGATAACATTCACTCGTCTCCAAAAAGGGATTTCCAATCACGTTTCAGCCGTACACGAAGTTTTAACGCTAAGTGAGCGAATACCTAACCTACCTAACTATCACAGTCCTTTCTCAGTCTGACCCTTCCTCCTAAATGCATCTCAATTGTCACATCGTTGAAAAACTGGTAACAACCTAAACTAGGCCAACTATAATAGAAACTGGTAGAAAACATTCAATCAAAAACACTACGCTATTTGGCACCTACTGTGTTGCTCTCGGACAGAGCCGTAACTGAGCTCTGTAATACTAACAAACAAAATATGTATTCGATGGCGAAAGGTAACCTACGTTTTTGGTTTACATTCTTCAATCTGTTTTCATCGATGTTCAGAGACACTCCGCCGAAAATTTTCTAATTTTGGACCTAAAGTTACCGTGTAAATTCTTTACCAATACTTTTTAAAGATATTATTTTTTGAGCATCTTGAAATTCGTCTACCTCTCCCCGTATTTGCCAGATTATATCCCTTAATACTCGTAAATAAAATTAACTTAAATTTATCTACAAAATATGTATATTTATTACAAATAGCGCAACAGCGCTGGAGACATTCATCGCGAAATATTGTTATGTGGTAAAAGATCAATTCTTAATTTTAGATTTCAACGTAGAGTTTTAAATTCTAATCTCTGGTTCAATCTGCTTAGAATTTAATGAAAATTTCGACCGTACGAGAAGAATCGAGAAACCTAATTCTTACTTGGTAACTTAATATTACGGGGCAAAAAACGCTATTTTACTCGTTTTTCCAACGGTAACACTATTCGTGAAGAACTTTTAAACTGTACATCCGACAGACTTTCGATAGAGGATAAACAACATCGTTATTTACAGATCGAAGCTCGTTTACAGCGATCCGATATCGTAATGTTTCGTATACTGGTGTGAGGCCGCGGCCGGCCCGGACCGTGCCTCCGCGCGGCGCCTAGTTGTAGAGGCGGTCGGCGGCGTAGAGGTCGTGGTGCGCGGGCGCGTGAGGAGCTGGGTGCCACCGCGGTGGCGGCGCGGGTCACTGCGCCGGCAGGCAGGCCACGGGCGCGCCCGGGCCCACGGCCGGCTTGAACTCCGCCACGCCCGCCGCCGGGAACTGCTGGAACGGCGGCGCGTAGCACTGCGGGAAGTACAGCTCCGGCTTCACCACCGCGGCCGCCGGCGGCAGCGGCCGCGGCGTCTTGGACGCGTCCGCGCGCCGGGCCTTCGCCGCGTGCGGGTTCATGTGGTTGTCGATGTGCTTCTTCACCTCCGGCTCCGTCGCGAACCGCCGCCGGCAGTTCGGCATCGGGCAGCAGAACGGCCGGTCGCCCTGATGCGTCCGCGTGTGCTGGTCCAAAATCGCCTTCTGCCTGAAATCTTTCCCGCATTGCGTGCACTTGTACGGCTTCTCTCCGGTGTGGATGCGGAGGTGCTGGTTGAGAATGGTCCGCTGACGGAAGAAGCGAGGGCAGTACACGCACCCGTAAGGTTTCTCATTCGTGTGAATGCGGAGATGCTGCGTCAGATGCGACTGCTGCCGGAAACGCTTTCCGCACTCGGGGCACGGGTACGGCCGCGACTCTATGTGGATGCAACCGTGTTGCAGGAGCGTCGACTTTTGCTTAAACTCTTTTTGGCAAATCGGACACCGGACGTACAGTGGCATGGCGCGGCCGCCAAGAACGTCTGGCAGCTTGCCACCTTTCAAGTATTGCAGAGACAGTCCGGAGCCGAAAACTGTGTGATTTAAGCCTTTGGTGTCCTTGAAGTAGGCGGGGTACTGGGCGGTGTCGCCGGGCGAGAAGCAGGAGCCTCGTTGCTCCCCGTTCTGGTCGGTGTCGCCGAAGGTCGACTGGATCTCCTCCTTGTTCTCGTCGGCGGGGAAGGGCACATCCTGGGGCCACAGCGTGGGCGTCGTCCCGTTCTTGAATATCAGATGCGGCGACACGTCTGAAAAATGAAACACAATCATGAGTCATGAGTGGAGCTGCAGAGGATGGGGATAACCGACGAGTGGGTTAATCGAACTGAGGGACGGTTACGGGATCGTCCGGCGATCGGTTCCGCGTCTCGCGAGCGCGCGCCTCTCCGCGGGCGACGAGGGGATCGAGAATTTGTTTGATAGGAAGGCCAATGGATGCGAGACCGAATCGAACGTGCAGGGAGCGGCGGGGATCGCAGGCGGCGCCGGCAGTGACGCGGGTCAGTGCGGGCGGCGCGCGCGGGAGGGGGAGGGACATATATGTGTGAATTGCGCTCGCCTTGGTGTGTGCGGACGTGCTGGTTCAGGATGGCCTTCTGGCGGAAATGTTTGCCGCACTCGCCGCACGTATATGGCTTCTCACCGGAATGGATGCGCAGGTGCTGGTTGAGGATGGCGCGCTGCCGGAACGAGCGCGGGCAATACACGCACGCGTAAGGCTTCTCGTTCGCGTGGATGCGGAGGTGCTGCGTGAGATGCGACTGCTGCCGGAACCGCTTGCCGCACTCGGGGCACCCGTAAGGTCTGGAGTCGGTGTGGATGCGCTCGTGTTGCAGCAGGGTCGACTTCTGCTTGAAGTCCTTCCCGCACGTCAAGCACTTGAAGAGCCGGAGCTCGGAATTCGGGTTGTGCTTTCGCGGCTTGGGCGGTTCAGGTTGGACTATGTCTGGCAGGTGGCGCAACTCCGGCGCGGCGTACTGCTCGAGCGGCCCTTCGAGGGAGAGCACTCCGCCGTTCTGTTTAAGGTAGTGTAATGGGAATCCTCCGGTCCCCAGCATGTGGCTGGTCGGTCTGGTTTCTTTGAAGTAAGGCGTCGCGTATTGCTGCTGTAAGTCCGGTTGGGGGACGAAACAGGGCGTCCTGTCGAGGTGGTCCTGGTTGGGCTGCGGTTGCGGCTGGCTCTGCAGTTGTTGCTCAACTTGCATATGCTCTGGAGACGTTTGTTGCTGCTGCTGCTGCTGTTGTTGCTGCTGAGCTTGTTGTTGTGCCTGTTGTTGGGCGAGTTGTTGAGCGGCATCTTCTGCTGCTCCAGTGGGGTCTGGAGGCGGCGGCGCGGGTGGATACGGCGAGGGGGCGGGCGACGCGAGCTGAGGCTCGGGCTGCGGTGAGGGCCCGCCGGGGCTCTGGTGCTGCATGGGCTGGTAGCCCCCGTCCAGCACTCCGCCTCCCCACTGGGTGCCAGGAGGGGCGCGTTCGACGCCATCTTTGTAGAGCACGTATGGCGCTGTTGTATCTGGAAAAGACATAAAAGTTTCGTTAGTATTTTACGTAGAAAGTTTTATTGATTGACACTATATTGTGCTTTTAAAAGTTGTGATATTAGTGGTATAGTAAATCATTTCAATGTCGCAGTTAAATCACTAGGTAGTGGCGTGAGAGCCGTTGGCGTGCGGCGCTCGCGGGGGTACGGCCAATAATTTAATGAAATGTCACGCCGCAGTACCGACCTGGACATTTTTGATAATACCCTCGCGATCACACATTTCATTATGCTAAAGAGAAATATTGAGACATTGCAATTTTATAGACTGAGCTCGTCAACTACTTCATAAGTTCATTCTTTGAAAATTGTCTAGCCTGTAATAGCGTTTTAGTAAGAAGTATTAGATAAGATACGTGCAAAAGCTTACAGATTCATTTTCAGCTAAATTGGAAAATGGATCAGCATTTAAGATAGCGCAATTTAAAATAATGCAACACTCATAAATAACTTGAGAATAGATAAGAACATTAAATTGAAACTATAGAAACGTTAATTATAACACTTTCGACGCGAGCGCATCGCAAAAACGCGAGAAAATGCCGCGTTTTCTTTTCCCGCCTAAAGGGAAATGCAAATGGCGCGATTGTTTCTGATTACAAATGGATGTGCATTTAATATTAGAAGATAAACGACTCTACTACGCGAATATAACTAATAATACAGCATTTTTCAGTCATCTTCGGCTTGTATTACCACATAATATGGCTCCTCCGCCCCATTAAACACGTAATCTTAAATTGTGACCAGCGTTGTTGGATTCATGATAAGCACTATCCATAAAACTAGCTTTTAAGAATACATATTGTGAATCTGTTTGTGGTCCAAATTAATAAATAAATAAAAAAAAAATACACTTATTAATTCATTCCGAATGCCATTTTCCACGAAGAATTGGATTCCAAAACTAAAATTCAGGTCTCTTTACTCGATTTAGTTGGAATCTGTTGCGAATCGACCAGTCATTACGTAATGACTACGCGTGAGGTAGTGAGAGGGCCATCCTTAGTGTAGGGATGGGACAATACCAAAGATTTAATCATAAAAAATAATTCAACTTAATAAATATTATTATTAAATATTATTTAAATTGGCGCCTATGAAAATTGGTGTACTCAATTTCAATGATACTTTTCTAAAAAGATAAGCTATAGCTACAGAAAGTCTACGTAAGGCTTAACGTTAACTTTAACTAAGTACAAATACGAACTTACGAAGTCATCTTAGCTGAGAGTCAAGACCAACGTACTTTAAGAAGATAGATCCTTGCGATAAATGTCAGTGTCGATATCCGAAAAAGTGAAATGTCGGACCAAATCGACAAAGCGTCCCATCCCTATCCATGAGTGATGGGAGGCTGCGGTCGGCCGACATTTTGACAGCCGAATATCGGGTTGCAGCGAAGGGCTTTCACAGTGGTCTTAAAACGTTCTGTTACTTGTCAAATTACGTGATTACCGATACCCTTTTTCTTAAAGGTTTACCTTTGTTTGTCACCTGTCATCCGCTTTGCAATGGAGGGAAGTCGAACCTTAATTTCGAACTCCTCCTATGTTCTTCTGATTAATTTCGTTGCGGGTCCAATGACAGTTTAACTTTCCCCCGGGACAAACTTGACCTTCATTGGTTGGGTTTTTGTGGCGGTCAAGCTGTAGATCCTGGCTACACAGGAGTTGCAGTGGTGGGAACGAGAGGTGGGAATAGTCCCGATTACCGATACCCGTTACGCATTAGCTACCAAGTTAAGTTATTTTGGAATTAAGTTAGCCGATACTTGGGGTCAGTGACTTTGTTTCGGCCTTTCGGAACGTATCTACAAGTTTTCGATCATATTTCCAACGATCGGAATAGGAACTTTAAATAACTTTGCTAAAAGAGTTTGCGTGTTCAGTTACGTCTAAAACGTAAGCAAAAAGTGACATCTTCATAATAACTTTGATTGAAACAAAATGTCTGCTTATTAACCAACTTAAAAAGAGGAGGTTCTTAATGCATTTGTTTTTTTTCTAAGCTCTACAAAATGTTTTCATTAAATTTAAAAAACATGAAGCTTTTGATTTCAAACGAAATACATTATTATTATTGCCGGTCTGCTGTATATTTTTGTCCTGGATAAGTCCAGTACTAGTACTTAGTACTTAAATCACCAGCTCTCAGTCTCACCATCGCTTAATCCTAAGTGACCAGAAATGTAGCCGACTGTATTTTTTCAGACAGGTACAAAACATTCCACTAATCCAACTTGTTAATCACGAATAATTATGATTCCTTAATAACGTCTTTGCGTTTGATTACTTGAAATACGGTACAGTCGGAGACATAAGACTGTTAAACTATTATATTTTTAATTTAAGTATTTAATTATGGAAATTGGTGGGAGATGCCAAAAAAACATGCGTCAAGCTTATTTTATGGCATTACAAATTTTGTTTTAGCTGTTATCTGAATGTGTTTTCGTCTTCTCCAGTGAAGTGAGAAATAACGAAAATATACATTTGGGTCTTTATTTGTTGCCAGAGTCTAGACTTCTAGTCCGCAAGAAAACATCTTAACAGAGCTGTCAGAAATGGAAGTCATTAGTTTCATTTGGAGGTAGGCAATATTACTTACTTGCGTAGGTACTTTATCTTCAACGTAAATAACAAAATTTTTTTGGGTTAAGGTACTTAGGCACTGCCTACCAAAATGTTTAATTGTGTTAGTCCGAATGATGCTTATAACATCAGATTTAAGTTTAATATTAGATTAGTGTTGGTAAGTACTACATTCATAAAGACCTTAATTACTTAATCGTTAGACCTTAATAACTTTCAGCAATGGACATGGCGCACAATTTTTGTTGAAGATGCCAAAAAAAACTACAAAAAATTAGAATGAATACTGTATTTTTATTTTTTTGATATCTTTAAAAATGACTGAAATATTCAAGCTCAAAGTGCACTCTTCCGCTCGGAGCGATTTTCCGCGCGGATTTTGAAAATGTGACGTAGTAACATGAAAAGCAGCATGCAAGATATTATCTGTGTACAATGGTTAGAATGGTTAGTAGGGGAGCCGAAGCGGGGATTTCGGGACTTACTAAAGAGTGGCAGACTAACATACAAGGAAATACTTTGTACCTGGTTGATTACCTCTAAGTATGAATTTTTGATATAAAACGGCATTAGTTCTTATGCCTCTCACCCAAAAAATACCTCAATTAAAATTTTATTTTAGTTGGAAAAAGACAAAAAGTGGTAAATGGGTTAACGTGCGGGGGCTGCAAAATCATGTTGTGACGTCACGCGCGAATATTGGAAATTTTTGAAAATTTTAAAAAGTCCGTAAACTTCTCGAGGCTCTATCTTCGGTAATACTGGATGGATTGAGGTGAAATAAAAACTAGTGTAATGTGTGTGATCTAAACTTTAAATTAAGTCATAATTTAACTTAATATTACAACTTATGCGTGTTGTCCATTATAAATTAAATAGGTTAAAATGGAGTCTTCCATTGACTTGGCCCACTTTTAGCTTGGTCCACGGGCCAAGTCCCTGGTTTGAATTTTTAAAAGGCCCAGTCACTGGAAGGAAAACAATTTAAAAATTCAAACCAGCAACTTGGCCCGTGGACCAAGCTAAAAGTGGGCCAAGTCACTGGAAGTCTCATAAAATATCTGCCTGACTGTACATTGTTCTTAAATCAATCATAGACGTTGTTAGGCTCAATATAGATTAAGAAGTAAGACAAAGACGGCTTTTTGTATAAAATAGAGTCATTTGTCATGTTCACGTGTGGGGTGCGCGATTAACACGAGCGATAAACAGGTTCTGTATGGAATATTGAATCATAATTATTAAAAAAACATCGTAAAGATGTATGGAGTTGCACTTTATAAGAAGAAGTACTTATTATTATTTTTGTATCTTATCAATAAAGTGGTAAATTAATAAGCGACGAATAAGAATTTCCATTTTATTCTATTTACATGTTCTAGAATGATTGTTATTACCAGATTACGTTTTTCAAAATAGCTAAGTCACTTAAACTTCTAACCTGATTTGGTCCTAACTCCTAGCCCCAATTTACTTACGTATCTATCTACTGTTTTGTTTTACAGAATACAAACTTATGTGAGTTAAAAACTAAACTACACAAACCGATTGTTAAACTTAACTAAACGGGATGCAGGTAAAAATTAAATCATAAAATGCCCATTACTTAATTAAAAAATACAAAATTAGTTTGAAACAAAATATCCACGGACCCCAAAAACAGTGCACCAATTTATCATAACCCGATCGCGTCGGGGCGAGTCTATCGATAAGCTAGAGATGGGCCGAGTCGATATTTTATCGAGCACGATCGCCACTATCTACATCTGAAGAGTCGTGACACGGTAAATGAGGCTGACTAGGTATAGAACATTTTTAACGCACATTGTTTAAGATCGGAGTAAAAGTGAACTGAATGGCCTATGAAGATTGGTAGAGAGCTTTCTCAATTTATTTTTAGCGTTATAATTGAGTAGAATTTTTAGTAGGTAACTAATTTACTTACTTTTGTCTAGCGAGACTAGCACTTTACTTAAAATAATCTTATAGATCGCAGGAAGGCGCTGGATGCTGGCTGCTTTTTAAATATCAAAATCATTGGAGGATTTCAACAGTGGACGTCTTATGTCTAAAATGATGATGATGAGTGATAGAACTACGTTTCAAACAAAAGTATTGCCTTGATTCAATTGTCAACGAACTTATGGAGAAGAGAAAATCACATAAAAAAGTTTTTTGAAAAGGTGTCAAGCAATTTTAATGAAATTGTTTTAATAGCTGTGACATCCGATACTTGCCAATAAAAAAGCGACTTCGATAAATTAAAAAAAACTTATCAAAGCACCAACTTCCCGCCAAAGATTTATATCCATACGACATCTGTGGTAATCCACAGATAAAATAACACAGAGGAAGCGCGGAGTTAATGACGAGTGCGGG